GTTAGCTTCGTTGTAGAAAGCCACTTCGGTTCTTTAATCACGATTTCTGGAGCGATAAGATGTTTTCGGTAGATTTTGGCTGCCAATGGTATTTTCCGACGATCACGACATACAATAGTGCAATTAAAAAAAAATACTCAAAAGCTACTGATCAATGATTTTTCACCACTAGAAGCAAGAAAAAAGACTTCCATATTTTGACCAACAAGGAGGTTTCACTTTTTTTTTATTAAGTGAAACCCTATGAAGCTTCAGTGTATACGATTCACGTATGTGAAAGTATTGAAAAATTAAATTCTAAAAAAAATTATAGATATAAAGCAACACCAAATTTTACTAGTTACAAAACTTTTTACGCAAATATATCCAGAAGCTAGCCAATACAAAGCTGACCTCTTAATGTGACACTTGATGTGATATTTTAGTATAGATGAAAAATTATGATTTATAATACCTAGTGACGTTACTCTTTTCAACTCCTGACAGTGATAATTCTTAGTGACTTATTTTGTTGTTGAAAAGAAAAAAAGGTACCTATATAAAAATATCTCAGTATATTTACTTAACGGGTGCTTGGTATGTTTATTCTGATGTTTGATTTTCTGTTTTTTGTTCTATTCTAAAGTTTCAAGAAAATTAATATAAATTACAAAATGGCACAATGTAGACTTATACTATTTAACAAACTTGGGAAAGTGAGCAATAAATTTCTAATCCCCACATTGAAAACAAAGGTTACATTTAAACAAATTACAACTACGAGCTAAAGAGGTTTATACATGTTTGTTTTAAATAAACTAAGGTCTAAGTTAAGCATATCTATATCTATGCCGTTTTGAAAAACGTACCTGATATGGATTAGCATCAAAGCTCAAGTAATTTAAGAATCCACAAGATTATTGATGTTATTGTTATTACTTTGGATTCATCCTGCGTCGGTTTTTGCTGAGTCGAACTTGCCTAACGAAGTTTTGTAAAAAGTATTATAGTAGCCTCTGGAAGTTTCTTTGAAAGATTATTATTGTCATTATTAATAAACCGGAAAAAAAACAATAATAACAAGACTTAAAAATAAAAGTATTTGCTAAAATTTGTAAAAAATACTTATTAGCACCCGCGACGTTGGTGAAAATTTGAATTGATTCGGGGCCCAGTTACGTGACGTACGTGTCAAGTTAAATCGACCGAACCATAGATTGAAATTTTTACGTAACTTTTTTTTTTATATTAAAAAAGACAAATTCCCGACCTATAGAATTTGTGCATCCCCTTTTAAATAGAAATCATATATGAATCCTAAAAATTTCGCTTTGTAATTAAAATTGCCCCCAAGGTAAATTCTATATAATCAACCCCCCTCGCTTTTTCAAAAAAAATTTTTTTATAGATATAGATAAGCGGGGGCGGATACTCCCGGGGAAAAATTTCACTTCGATTCCGAAACTTCATCCGTAGCGAACTCCTGAAAGCAAAGTAATAATGAAACCCCTGAATAAATAATCATCCGCTTTTATAATAGAGCATTATGAATTTTTGACGAGAGAAATCTTTTGTGTCTGGAGAGTATCCAATAGCACGAAACAAATCGGAAGGAAACGAGCGTCAAAGAAATGAGGGCGTTCTAGTGTAAAAATCGTACACAATGCTCTCGAGTGGCCCTAGGCCAATACACGTCGCGTTTTCTTTCCCGTTTACAAAAAGTAACAAGGTATACGAACAATCGCATTTCAGCTTTTACCCGATGAAACGATGTGAGCTTCGCGTTTGAAAGCACGCTTATTAGATTTCGAATACGTAAACTTTTCGTATTCGAGCGACGCTTGAAATTTTTCATTTCCCATGAACTTAAAATAATCATACAAGATTAGAATTAGGCTCCCGCTACTCACACCAAACGGCCGGTACTTGCCCCCCGACGAACGCAAATGAATTTTTGAACGATCTTCCTCGAAGCTATAAAGCTTTTGGTGTATAAGATGGAAAATATATTGAGTTCATCATAACCAGATTTTTCCGATTTTGGGTAAACAGAAAAGGAAGCTAGAATAAGATAATAATAATAATAATTTATTGATGTTAACAAACCTACGGTTTTACACAGCAAAAAACATTGACAGAAATCTACATATATGTATAATTACAAAGGCACCGTGACGTAACGCAGAAAACGCTAACCATTATTAAAATTGGTAAAAAAGTCATCAAATGAGTAATAGGCCCCATCCAGCAGAAGTGATCTGACCTCAATAGAGAATTGTCTCTCCGGCAGCTCTCTGACGCTTAGAGGCAAAAGATTAAAGAATTTACGTCCGTAATAGTTCTTATACTTTCTAGTCTTTGCAATTCTTGAGTAGTTAATCAACTGTTTCTGGTGAGATGGTGGCAAAGATTAATATTAAAGGGATATTGATCCTGGAACAGTTAATATTTGGGGACCTTTAAACTTTGCTCTTACGTCATCCCTATAATTCAACTGCGTCATCGCCCTGATGGCTCGTCTCTGTATAGAAAAAACTCTTTCGGTATGTGAGGAGTGCGTAGCTAAAAAATCCCTGAAAGATTGAAAAACATACCACTCTGATTATACCTTGAGAGACCTCGCCGACCAAACCGCGCTACAAGTACACCACCCTTTAGAGCTTCTCACAAAGACCAATAATATGCTGCTCGAACGTCAATTTCGCATCAAGCAGAACCACAAGACAGTTCACTCGCGTAAAGAAAATATAATTTGTTGGCCCTCTCCATCCTGTGACCAAGTCGTTCTCAGAATGACTTCGACAAGAAAAGGTAGTATCATCAGCCAACAATGTACAAACTATGTCAGCAACATGCTCAGGGAGATCGTTTATATAGATCAAGAATAGACGAAGGCCCATAATGGATCCTTGGGTCCCATGTTCAGCAACTCTAATTTGTGATGATTTTCCATTCGGAACCACGATCTGCATCCTGTTGGAAAGATAACTTTGAAGGAATCCAACCCATGTGGGATACCTCGCATACCACACCGTACCTCAGCAATTTACTCAGAAGAGCAGGATGCCGGACACAGTCAAACGCTTTCGAAAGATCGCATAGGACTGTGCCGGAGCACTTTCTGCCTTCAAAAGCTGCGTAAACCTGATCAAGAACTCTACTAATCGCTCCACAAGTCGATCTACCACGTCTAAACCCAAACTGGGCCAGAGACAACAACAAACGAAGAATCTTTTCAATAATTTTACCGATTGCGGGGATAATAGATATTGGACGATAATTATTTATATTATTTACATCACCCTTTTTGAAAACTGGAATGACTCTGGACAAACCTCTGGATAAAACTATTATATTTTAATTCGCTAGGAATTGGCACTTAGAATAAACCTTCAGGAAATTAAAAAGTATAACTATACGTAAAACTGTTTAGAAATCTTCTCGATTCCTCCTGCGTCAGTTATTTAATAATCAGACTTGCTGACGTTTCGCCAATGATCCTGCTGGTTTCTTCAGAGGTTAACAAAAGAAGCCAACAGTTTGTTGGAAAAACAGGATACAGTATTCAAGGGATGGTTTAAGAACTATAACACAAAATTAAATTCAAAAAAGGGAAGCTCATCACCATAATTCACATTGGCTCAGTAAAGGGATATATTGCGAAGCGCTTGCTGTTGTCTGCATAGAATATTAAGGAGGATTATTTGGTGCTGCAAATTAAAACAAAAACATAAAATGTAATTAATAATATATCTGTTCGTAGCTCTGGAAAATTGAAAAACAACATTTGCACTCAAAATAATTATTAGTTTTAATGAATACTCTGAGAGTGAAACAAATTATGTGTTGAATGAAAACCTACTTGTTTAGGTAATGAACAAATTTGTATTTATTTTTCTTTTGAGAAATTTTCTGCATCATCCTACCTAACCAACAGTTCTGGCGAAATTATTTGGGCTTGGTGGTGCAGAATTTGCAAAATAACAATCTAATCTCCAACTATGACTTGAGATACGCCAGTTAATTCTCGAAAACGTTGTTGCAACATAAGTTTTGGTGAGTTACGTTTTCATGGTTTCATTTTATTTAAAAAAATGTTCCATATTCTCATACTCAAACCCAGTACACAAAAGAATTTTTGTAAATTTTTCGTTCATTTTCAAAAGGGTTGCATAAACTTCAAATTCCATATCTTGTTTAAGACAGTTGCTATCAAATTCCTATTAAGGGATAACAAGTCAGCAAAGCAAATACATGAAATATGATACTAAAACAATATAATCGGAAGAATGGGAAATGGGAAAATCAAACTAGAGAATGGAATGGAAACGAAAAAGGGATTGAACAACATTAATAACGAGCTACTTAAAGATAGCAGCAACGAGCCAAATGCATATCCTTTTTAGTATAGTTTAGTATACGACCAGAAAAAAGTACAGAATTATCAGAGGATCAATTTATTTCAATATTATTAGCAAAAAATATTGCAAAAGAAGTTTCACGTAGTGATATTGATGAATGAAATGAAATGAAATCATTCGGGACATAAACAACAGTCCACTCGTTGATGACGCAGTGGAGATATCAGAAGGGATTTCTTCGAAAAACTTGTGTGATACCCGTAAAGGTGTACACTATAGAAACCAGGGCGAAGACTGCAGTTACTCAATAGTTTTTAAGAACGACTAAAAACACACACAGGGAAAACGCTCCGAGACTGAAACAGAAGCAATGACATTAGAACGATATGTGTCGTGTCGGATAGAGTAAAATGGACCAAAACTAGATGAACAGTATGGAGAAACTGAGACCAAATACTAATAGAACTCCCGAAAGGCTCTCGAAGCGCCGCTATGAGAGCTCAGAGTACTACTTTCAAGACAAAATCTTAAAATAAGATGAAGAAGAATAGAAAAAGAAGTTTAGATATTAAACTCAGATAAACAAAATCAGGAACCAGGAACAATGTTAAAACATTAGAAAAGGTTGAAGGAAAACATAATATTTTGAATAGATTTTTATATTGTTATATAAATAAGTTAGCATAGTATACATATAATTTAAAAATTCCACCTTCTACCATCTATGGTTAAAATTGAGTCCAACTCTCTTGTCCAAATTCATGTTTCCACCATAGCCTCCAAATTTCTGAGTAGCTCCGCCCCCGACGTTGAGGGTGGACTCTCCGAATCTGTTCTTGTTAGACCAAACTGGCACCCTAGCGTCGGCGCTGACTACGTGGCCGAAACCGTTGGCGTGTCCGTAACCAAGGCTACCCCCAGAACCATTTGGGTTCTGCAGTTTGACGAATCCGCCTTGGGATTGTCCGTTGCCTCCGCCTTGACCGAAGACTTTGGGGCCATCGGCTTGTCTGTAGTAAAAATTAAAAGGTTAAAAATTTTCTTTTTTTTTTATTAATGCCAAGTTTTACCTTCTTTGGCGGCTCGACACGGGAGTGAGGTAGAACTGTCTTCCTTCTTCGTCTTCCACTAATACGGATTCAGCGGCGACAAATGCTACGACGGCCGCAAATACTACTAAATATTTCTGCATCTTGGAGATCGATGTGGCGTTTCTCTTCGACTTTCTTCGTTGTCTGACAAAGTCGCGTTAAAACGCGCATTTTATAGCAATCTTTTTCGATAAGAGGAATCCCCTTCGACCTGTAGCGTTGACGGGATCAGTAAATTACCGCAAGCAATAAAACGAAAGCAGATAGTGATTCATATTATATACTCGTTCATTAATTTTTAGAGAAAGGTCAACACATCGGACAAGGTATGAACAACTTGCACCGTGAGTATTTCGTATATACCTATTTTCATATACGTTATAGATTTAGAAAGAATCGGTTGGTCTTGTTGTAAACATTTGGAAGTTCTTAAGCTTAAGCAAATGTAAATTTAATTTGGAGCATTATCGTACAGGTAGAGAAATTCGCTCTAGAACTGTATGTAATGTAATTTAAGCCACTCGTGCAGACGGTCCCCGTTTGCCGTTGGTATAGAGATATTTTGAGGCCGATTCTTGCTGTGAAGTACGGGGATTTTTGATGCACACGAGACATTTTATTTTGACAGCGATAAGAATATGTCACTGCATGAAATTGAAAAATTAAAGACCAGCAATTTCTAATTGGTTTATTGCCATTAATTAATATTAGCATACGTGATGTATTAATTAGGTAAGGATAAATTAATTGTCAAGGAAACCAAAGAAAATTTTATTTTAACCCTGAACTACTATCGCCCATTTATACTTACATAATTACATCGTAGGGTTACAAAGGACCCCCAATTTTTAATGGGCAGTGGTAATTAATTAAATGTAATTTGTGTTTTTTTTTATTTTTGATGAATGTATGAGTATATAGAAGATACATATTTAGAAAAAGACACATATTTCAAAAAAATAAAAGTATTAGAACATATATAAGCAACACCTTCATTTCCATATATAAATAAAAACAAACCTTCATTAGAACAAAAAAATATATGTATTGGAACAAAAGTCTCTTCTCAGGAAATAGGATTTTCATAACACTATCTTCATGGTTTTAACATAATTTTTGAAAATATAATTGCAATAAAAATTTGTTTTTTTATATAGTTCTTACCTATTCTTGGCATGAAGTACAGGTGACTTGTTGTAGTGAATGAGCAAATGGTAGAATGTTTGGTATCTTTACCAATGGGACACAAGTAGCATCTACGCCTTACTACTAGGCTGATCATCACGAGTACTTTCAGATCCTAATGCTTTCGGGATTATTGAGCGAAGTTCTCTGGACAAATTGGACACAGTAAATCTTATTCTGATTCCTAGCTCTTTGATAAGCTTAGAGCGATTTTTTTATTCCAGGATTAGCTGCGTGAAAAATGATATTACTATTTACCATAGCAATATCCATTATAGCCTACCAAATCACCAAAGGCCATCGACGACATCTTCGACCTGAACGATAAAGGACACATTTTTGGTCAAGGGCTTCAACGCCTCCTTCCGTTTTCATTATCTCAGGTTTTTTAGTTTCCTGGTCAAGGAGGTTTCGTGGTGCATGGTGGACAACATGATCACATTTTGTGGAGAAATTTTCCTCTTGTTTTAACGCAGGGTTCCCACATATGTAAGTCCAAGTTTCTTTAGTTCACTAACCAGCTAATGAAGTGAACCAGTTATCACCAGTGACATTCCTGTTACTATTAGTAATTGGATTCACTAAAATGAGTACTGATCTGGTAGGTATGGACAGCTTCAGCGGATTTGGTTCATTGGTTTTGCCCGCATACACGAAAGCGTTTACCAAATAATGTGTCTTGGAATCACATAGACACATAATCTTGATGCCGTACTTGACTGGTTTGGCTTTTATATACATCCTAAAAGGGCATCTGCCCCTAAAACCAACCAACATCTCATTGATTGTGATATATTCGGAACAAGTGTAAACAACACAACAAATAGGGTACTGCTGCAAGTCTATCACCTTTTTTTGCTCTCTTATTACATGTTTATCAAATCTAATGGCAGTGAGAAGAAATAAGAAGCGCTCCTTTGACATTGTTGCTCGAAAAATTGGTCTGCCTAAGCAACTTGTTGAAAATAGTGATTCTACATCCTCGTGATTGGATTTGAATAAACCATAGAGATATGAAATACCCAAAAAGGCGTTGAGTTCAGCTTCACTTACATGATCAGCAAATGTGCATCTATCTCTATAATTCACACTCAGGTAGGTTTTTTTTTTCATTTGTGTACTCTAAAATGCTTGCTATCATATTAGAGATTATCAAAAGAGACCACGATTCAATTGGACTAGATGGTTTTGATTGTATATCTAATTTTCAGACGATTCTTCATCAAACGCTGATTCGACTCCGTCGCTTATGTAACAATAGCGGTAAATGTTGGCAATTTACGGGATAGACCATACAGTTATTAAAGACACTTGGTGGTGAGATCCAGCATAGCTGCTCATATTAACACCCTTGACATCCAAATTTTAAAAAAATGTATAAAATGCCAGGACAACGTCTCCGATATATCGACATATTTAATCAAAACGTGTACTCTCTTCGCATTAACAGAATTTTTTTTAGATTATTCTGCTTAAAATACTTGAGGATGGACATGTTTTGGTTAGTTTTGGTTAGTAGCAGGGATATCATTATACACTTTAGTAGCGTTAAAAGTAAAGGATCTCTAGCTCTGTACAATGTTTTTTTTTGTGTTTTTCATGCTTATATTTTATGTTATTCCTCGATTTTTGTGTTATCTTTAACACATTAGTAGGGATCTAAGACGTTAGTTTACTTCGTGTTCATCTTTTTTATGTTATTTAATCAGATCATTTTGGTAAAGTATGTCCATGAATTATTCTCGACTAGTTGCTATTTTATATTCCCTTGGCTGCGTTAATCACAAGTATTTTTGTTTGGATCAGTACCATCAGTAAACCCTATAAACTAGCTATCTCCATTAGCTACTCATTCCAAATATTTTCGCATGTGGCACAGCGGTAGCCAGGACAGTAAGCATATACGTTTTAAGTATTTTTTTTACTCCAGTCGGTAAAATGCATAATTACACACCGATCTAGCGTGCGGGAAGCATGTCTTTACTACGTCAGTTTCGTTTCCCACGTATCCGAGCCACTTCGAACATAACCGGTATTTTAATGGCAACCAGTAAATATTTTATCTGAATAGTACGGCCGTAGAAAAAGCATAGTATGCAACACGTTTGATAAACTCTTTATCTCACTCGTTTATTCCTTAACTCGTGAGTCAAATGCCGTCTAGCGCACTTGTTGCAAAATATACTATCATCACATCACAAATAAAATACTTCCATTTTGCTCGGGATCTGAACGTTAATTTTGCTGTTTTTTCCTTTTGTTTTCTATCGGGCCAGCCAAATTCCACACTATGTTTTATAAAGGACATAAACATATGAGTAAAAATCATATTGTTTATGTAATAAAATAAAATAAGGATAAGGAATTACAAGAAATAATAGTTACAATATAATATAAAACAAGCCTAAGTAAAACTAATGTTAGATGAACTTAAAGAAAAATTCAAGTCACACTCGATTTCCCGTTAATTTCATAGTCAAACTGACAATTTCAAAAGTAACAGTAGGCATTTTCTTTCTGTTTAATTTCCAGTCTGCATTATTTTTGAATTGGTAAGTTCAATAAACTATTAGTTTAAAATATATGTATATTTATATATTTACATACACAGAACGTAAATATATACGTTCTATGTAAAAAGGTACTTTGGAAAAGTTACAGAAATTTTTGTAAATTCCACTTTTTTGAAAAACACCCTACAACCATGGAAATGTAGAATTTTATAAAGTTTTTTACGAAAATTGAAACCAAGACACCGACATTAATCTATTTTCTTCACCGCTTTTAGCACGGGAAGTTTTCCATTTTAACTTAAAGTTCAAAATTCAATAGATTTTGGTCGACGATGGTTAGTTTTAATGATATATTTGGCTGCAAAACCAAATTTGGCTGCCTCTGTTTGAATACGCTTCATCTCGCTAGATATAAAGTTACAGAGGGTACAAAGAAAGGGAAACACTATATTTGCAATTCTTATTGCGTGTATTACTTTCGTGTCAAATAAATAAATTACATATTATTTTAAAAGGCGACGATCTACCATCTGTGATTGAAATTGACTCCTACTCTTTTATCCAAATTCATATTTCCTCCGTAGCCGCCGAACTTTTGAGTGGCGCCGCCTCCAACATTGAAGGTAGATTCTCCGAATCTGCTCTTCTTGGACCAAACTGGCACCATGGCATCCGCACTGACTACGTGTCCGAAACCATTGGCGTGTCCGTAACCAAGGCTACCTCCAGAACCGTTAGGGTTCTGAAGTTTGACGAACCCACCTTGGGATTGTCCGTTGCCACCGCCTTGGCCGAAAAGTTTTGGTCCATCAGCTTGTCTATATTAAAAATAAAAAAATTAAAAACAGTTTTATTCGAAAGTATTTAACTCAACTTTTACCTTCTCTCGCGGCTCGCCACCGGAGCGAGGTAGAACTGTCTTCCTTCTTCGTCTTCTACTAGTAGGGATTCGGCGGCAACAAGGGCCAGAGCAGCCGTAAATATTACGAAATATTTCTGCATTTTTAAGATTGGTTCGAAGTTGTCTTTGGAACTTTTCTTGACTGTATGACAAATTATGTTGAGAACGGCATTTTATACACACAATTTGGGATATGCGGAATCCCCTTCTGCTCTATCTGTTTATGGAAAGAATAAAATACCGCATGTCATAAAACGAATGCGAGAACAAACTCCGATAATGATTTAATTGTTCTGTTATTTTTAGGAGAACGGTCAACTCGCGGGACACGGATCAACTGCACAAGCTGTTTAAACTTATTACGCCAGAAGCACGAAGATATTTTGAAATGTTACGATACTGTAAAACCGAATTTGTCAACTTAAACCGATACAGAACTCGTGATGTTAATTTAAATTATTGATGAATCTTATAATAAACATTTACGGAAGCTCCAAAACTCCAGTCAGGTTGATTTTAATTCGTTGAAAACGGCATATTATATCATAAACTTAAAGAACCTAGTCGCAGTCCATGCGATAATTTTCCTTCGCAAAGAATGTTCCCACTATCCGTAAACATCGAAAGAAACTTTTTAAACGATCTCTGTTATCTCAAATTTAAACATATTAAATTTTATCGATTTTACATCATCTTGCAACAAATTTAGACTTAAGCTGAAGGCTCGTTTGACAATAAACGGTAGATACAACTGAGTACTAACATGGTTCAGAATAACTGGAATTATTGAATGCGTCATCAAATAAATTCATACAAATAAATTACTACCGCAAACATAGGAAAGACACCCAACATATGACTGCAGTCGAGAAAATATTAATATCGTATTTGTAATATGTAAAAAAGAGCTTCGAAACAACAACGAAAAATAGAATATGGCTGGGAACATGTTATAAAAAAAATTAAAATATACGTGCACATGCTTCGTTTATGGAAATCGTATATATTTATTATGTAAACTTTTTTCTATCTTTAATATTGATGATTGCATAAACGTATGTTAGGGTGTATAGAGTTTGAATGTCGAAGAAAAGCTACTAGGGTTTCTTGACCATGAGGCCAAATAACAAAAGTATCATCTACGTAGCGTTTCCATAATTTTGGTTTTAGATGAAAGGTGTCAAGAGCTTTCTTCTCAAAGGTTTCCATAAATATATTCGCGATGACTGGAACCAAATCCAGATTTGGCACTTGTCCAAAAATCTCTCAACATCTTCGGTCCGTCAAAGACAAAATTCCATTTGAGATTCCATGCATATGGGGCATTGGAGAGACGGGACGAAAAATATCAACTAGGCTCAAAGAACACGAAAGAACCTTACGACTAAGACAAATAAACTTATCAGCTGTTGCCGAACACACTCATGAAACCGACATAAAATTTTATTAGATAAAACTAAACTTCTTGAATGTAATCAGTTCTTCTACCAACGAAAAATCCGAGAGTCTATAGAAATCTATAAACAACCTAACAATCTTAACCGCGACTCAGGTCTCTACCTGTCACCAATTTGGGAATCAGTCTCCGAGACAATATATAAGCAGGTATAGAGTAAAATACGAGCCAGTTTCAAGCTCTGAAGAAGTCAACAGGATGATTGGCGGAACGTCAGCAATTTCAGCAAAAACCGATGAAGAAGGAATCCAGAAGTTTTGTAAAAAGTATTAATAATAATATTAAATTTTATACTCGTTTCTAGTAAACCATATTGTTTTGCTCTTGTCTCAACCGTTGTTAACAGCGGAGCGAAGAAAATTGCACCTTAAGTAGCTTATATAATTTTTATTACCCACTCGCACGGTACTTCATTATATGGGCAGTTTCAAGTCAAGTTATTCTTGGTTGAATTTGCGAATTCATTCTATATAGAAATAATTCAAAGTTGTCGGTAATACATTTGTCACCTATAATGTTCTTAGATATTCTAATAGAAAGCGCTAAAAAGATGATTGCTTCATTGAACCTATTACCTATAGCCTTATTTTCGCATTTTATTGCCTTTTCAAAAGAAAGCAAAGAGTATTTATATATACATAATTATTTAAAAAATGTAATAGTTAAAATGGCGATTTAAATACCTCCATATATTTCACTGAATACGAACAACACGAAAATTGTTTGAGTAATAAATTTTTTTCAATTTTCTTATCCAAGCATTTCTTACTAAAGAAGCGGGAAAATGGATCTTTAAATTAAGAAAAACACCACTGTTATGCTACTATAGTACTTTGTATTTAATTAACATTAAATAAATAATTTACATATTTAATTAAAAAGTAATTCTCAGATAGATCTACCACCTATGGTTAAAACTGACTCCGACCCTCTTGTCCAAATTCATATTGCCTCCATATCCGCCGAATTTTTGAGTGGCACCTCCTCCGACGTTGAAGGTCGACTCCCCATACCTGTTCTTATTGGACCAAACTGGCACCATGGCATCGGCGCTGACTACGTGTCCAAAGCCGTTGGTGTGTCCGTAACCCAGACTACCTCCGGAACCATTAGGATTTTCCAATTTCACGAATCCACCTCGGGATTTTCCGTTTCCACCGCCCTCACCGAAAAGTTTGGGACCATCGACTTGTCTATATAAAATATTGAATGATTAAGATTTTTTTATTGAAAATATCTAATCTAATTCTTACCTTCTCTGGCGGCTTGATACAGGAGTGAGGTAGAACTGTCTTCCTTCTTCATCTTCTACTAATACAGATTCGGCAGCAACAAGCGCCAGAGCAGCAGCAAATACTACCAAATATTTCTGCATTTTGAGTAGGTATGTGAAGTTCGAAGTTCTCTTCGACTTTCTTGCTTGTCTGACGAATGGTGCTGAAAGCAGTGTTTTATATATCAATAGTTTGGGATATCAGGAATCCCCTTCAGCTTAACTGTGCACGGTAAGAATAAATTACCGCAGGCCATAAAACGCAAGCGAGAACGAACGGATAATGATTTGTTTTGTTTAAAGAGCAAGTTCGTCCGACTAACCATTGCGCGGCCAAACTGCACGGTGTGTATACTTCAAAGGAATACTACTTCGTAGTGCAAATAGCTGTTTTTTGAGAAAATCGCTGCTTTCTAATATAACAAAACGATTAAACATTGGTTTTAGACATATTTACATATTCACTCGTATTAATTGGATCTTGCATTATTTAAAATCGCAACTAATCGTTAGTGCAGATTGTTCTTCTTTGTCTTTCAACTACTACAGATTTCTTAATGTTGATAATAATTGTTGTGGAGTGCCGGGATTTGGGTTTTTTGGCGTTAATTTTAAATGGAAATACGGAAATTGAAAATAAATTTCGAAGAAAACTAAAAACGATTTTTGAATGAAATTCTGAATACGCTCATTGAAAAGAAACTCTGATAATAATTGGTTTCCTTAATTTACAAAGATAAGTAAAAATGCTTCATGATCTTTTGACACAAAAATCTTTTTTTACCACGTAGTTTCTAAATTCCTCCAGAAATACACCACCTGCATAGAGAAAATCAATAAGAGGTGTAACTTTTCAATGAAAAATGGAAAATAATAATCTCGATCTGCTACAAATAAACTTGAATATTAAGATTCTTCCTATATTTAACAAAGTTGCAAAATTTTTGTGCCAGATTAGTTAGTAAGAACGCGGAAAAATAAAAGGGGTGTAAGTGTCAAATTGAGGAAAGTAAACTAGCTAGGAATTTCTAATCAATTCTTAGGTCAGCTCTAATGCAAAATCAAATTTTAGTATACACTACATAATTTAGAGCTTTGACCCAGATGCATTATTACTCATCCTATCATTAAAACGAGATACCCCGAACACCTCTAAAAAAAACAACTTTTAGGATACACGTAAACAATTTCAATAAAAGATTTAAAAGGGTCGTTGTTCCTCGTCACCTAATATACCATGGTGTGATATATCTTCTGTTATTTGTGGGAACAAGTAAAGAAACCAACAAAAAAATACATATATGCTGCAATCTTGACTTTCTTGTAATTTTCCTTTAGTAAAAATAACCTGCATAAAGTCTACTATTATTTATTATGATGATTATTATTATTTTAGTTTAATGTTTAAACCGCCTTATCACGACATATTGTACCATCCCACTTTTACATAGGTTTACAGTTCTATGCTGTGTATGCACCCATATGATTATGGATGTGTGTGTACTGTATATTATGCATATGTGTGAGTACATTGGTAGTTTCTGTCCTGGTTGAGATAGGAGGTCCCCTTCAACTCGCCATTTGAAAATTTTAGACTTACAGAAAACTCTTTTTTTTTTACTTATTTATTTGTAATATGTGACTTAGCATAGACAGCATATTATATTCTCTGCAATAACTTAGCTGCAGATGGAACAACAAGGACTTTAACGTAAGAAAAACACTTTTGTTGTATTATTACACTATATTAACAATAAATAATTTACATAAATAATAAACAACGTATTTTGTGGCCATTTACCATCTGTGGTTGAAACTGATCCCAACCCTCTTGTCCAAATTCATATTTCCTCCATAGCCGCCGAATTTGCGAGTGGCTCCACCGCCGACATTGAAGGTAGACTCTCCAAACCTGTTCTTGTTAGACCAAACTGGCACCATGGCGTCGGCGCTGACTACGTGACCGAAACCGTTGGCATGTCCGTAACCAAGACTACCTCCGGAACCGTTAGGATTCTCCAATTTGACGAATCCACCTTGGGATTTTCCGTTTCCACCGCCCTCACCGGAAAGTTTAGGGCCGTCAGCTTGTCTATATAATATATAGAATGATTCAGAAAATATTTTCCCGGTAATATATAATCTAAATTTTACCTTTTCTGGCGGCTAGACACAGAAGTGAGGTAGAACTGTCTTCCTTCTTCATCTTGTACTAACACAGATTCGGCTGCGACAAGCGCCAGAGCAGCTACAAATACTACTAAATTTTTCTGCATTTTGTATGATTCTGTGAAGTGTTGTTCGACTTGTCTGACGAATGGTGCTGAGACCAGTGTTTTATATATGAATAGTTCGGGATATCAGGGATCCCCTTTAGCCTAACTGTGTATGGAAAGAATAAATTACCGTAGGTCGTAAAATGAAAGCGAGAATGAACGGATAATGATTTGTTTTGTTTATAGAGAAAGGTCGTCTGACTAAACATTGCGCGGCAAACCTGCACGGTAGGTATACTAGAAAGGAATATTAATTCGGATTGCAAATAGGTGTTTTTTCAGAAAATTGCTGGTTTCTACATGACAAAACTTTTAAACATAAAAACTGTCTTCGTATTACACATGTTTATATATTCACTAGTATTTATTAGATTTTGCATTATCTAAAATCGCAACTAATAACTCGTGCTGATTGTTCATCCACGTCTTTCAACTGATACAGATTTCTTAATATGAATAATTGTTGTGAAGTACCGAGATTTGGGTTTTTTTGGCTCTAATTTTAAATGGTTCAAATTAATTATCAAAAAGAAATGTAAACAATTTATTTGAAGAGAAAACACCCTAGTAGTAATTTATTTCCTTAATTAAAAAAAAAAGTAAAAATACTTCATAAATCTTTTAATTTTTATAATTAATATGATTGTTAATATAATGTTTGTCTGCTTTGTGGATTTGACTCAAAACATATAGAAATAATCAGAAAATTAAATGTTAAATGTAATAAAATACGGATTAAAACAGAAAATGACCTTACCCAAGACATTTTAATAAGAGCGGTATCAGACAATGAAGGGCGGTTATCAAATGAAAAATAACTCTCTGAAGATTGTCTGCTATGCGAACGAGGCAGTTCTTGTAGCGGAGAATGAAGATGACCTGCAACGACTACTATATAGGAAACTGCAAAAAGATATAACATGATCATCTGCACTCAAAAGACACCAGCTATGGTAATTAGCAAAGAACCGATCCGGCGCAAGTTGGTTGTAAACGAGAAGATCATTAAAGAGATCATGACATTCAATTACTCCAGCTCCAGAGATGTGATAGAGGAAGTTCGAGTACAAGTTAGTAAAACTACACGTATTGGATGATATCTGAGAGACGTAATCTGGAAGAACAAATATATATCAGCTGAAAGTAAAGTCTCATATGCAAAACATCTGTGAGACCCGAGCCGCGGACACAAGGGCCCACAAATCAACAACAAAACGAATGCTTCGAACCGCCGAGGAATATAAGAGGAGTCACTCTAATTGATCGGATGCGCGGCAAATCCATTAGAACAGTGCTAGATATAGAAGATATCGTAAGATTGATTAGGTCAAGGAGACACTATTGGAGAGACCATGCGGTCAGAATGAGGCCAGTAAGATTAACAAAATGGGCAAGGACACAAAATTCCGACACAAGACGACCACCAGCCAGACCCTACAGCGATGGCGAAATAGCTGGATGTCTCTCTCACAAGAGACACTATTAGCTAGATTAAACAGGTCATAGCCCTAGTCAAAAACGAAGAACAAGAAGAAGATATTGTGAAAAAAAACTAAATATGACGGAAACATAAAAAAGGTATTAAATTGACGGTAGTACTATATTCTGTAATATATCCTTAACTTCAATCTATTACTGACAAATTTTCTAGATTGCTCCTGCGTCGGTTCAAACTTGCTGATGATTCGCCAATCATCCTGTCGACTTCTTCAGAGCGTAACTGAACAGTTTCAGCGGGAGGAATCCAAAAGATTTGTAAATAGTACTACAGTAGCCTGTGGAAGTTTTTTTAAAAAATTAACTTAAATATTAAAATTAAAGCGGTCATTATTCCTCGTCACTTTTCTGATATATTATAAAGATACTTCAGGTACGATCAAGCTAAACTATAATTACAAAAGCAAAAACCTGGTCGGTAATTTTCAAGAATGCAAAGGAAAATAAAATTAAACAGAGTGTGATAATGAAAAAACACTCTTTTACAGAGGTAGGTTTAGCATTTTTTTCCTTCTGTATGTAGGTAGGTACTCAACGGCAATGCAAATCTTTATTTAAACCAAGGTGTGGTATAACTTTTTTTAATTGTAAAGATAAATACAAAAATCAACAAACAAATACGTATGTACGCTGCACTCTTACCATTTCATGTAATTTTCCTTTATTCAAAATTACCTGAATAAACTCTATTATTATGGTTCTCATTATTAAGACACTATGTCTGAGCAATCCTTTGTATAATTTTTAATTATCTATTAGAAGAATTATTTTCAGTTATTTGTTATGGATGAATGTATCCTCTATACGCGGTTAGTCACAAGTCGAGCAACGGTCATATACCTGAGGAATTATTGGACTTAGCTTTATTAAATTTGGTATACCGGGGTTTCAGGTTCGGCTAGATGATGATATGGACGACGTTGCCACATTTAAAGTTTTTTCCCTAAGCTTCCAATCTTTATTATTTTAAATAGAGAGGGTATGTTTTTATTCCATTTGTGGATTGTTATTGAATTTCCAAGTATTTGTGTTTATGCAGAAATTACAAAAAACGGAAATAATAAGTGTTTTAATCAATTAACTAAAATCTATTTATTGGTAAATTTAAATAACCCGAAAAGCTATTTCAAAACAAAGAAAAATGATAATTGGTTTAATAAATGCTTAAATTGACACCTTTCTGCTACTTGGCGATGTGTGAATTTTCTGTGTTCTCTTCATTCGGTGACATAGCTCAAATTTCAGCTCTTATCTGCTCTTGTAAAAGTCAGCCAAGATGTTTGGTTTGGTGTTTTACACTTCAGTTTTGAAAAAAATCTAGAGGATTTAATTCTGGTGAATAAAACAGCCACTCGATAGTCTCTCTTCGTCCCAACAACTGATTTTTGTTTTAACTTTTTTCATAACACGACTACAAAGTTCTATCCTTCGATCTGGATCAACTTCAAAAAAATTTTATCACTACTGATTTTTTGTTTACCCATGACTGACTACAGTTAGAACCTCTTCAGTGATAATTTTAGTTTTGAAACTAATTTGTAAAGAATTGAGGTCATAAGTTGAGATCAATTTGGATGTACCGTATGAAACGATTCACATACTCCACGATAGAAGCGTTTCCTATCATCATAACCGACCAACATTTCAATTGGTGTGAGAAATTTCAAACCGCTTAGGATAGTGTCAAATAGCAAAAGGACGTCAGTTTGAGCATTTAATAAAATAAGTGATTCGTTTGTTTTCAATTATTTTTTATTGCTGTTTCAGTTTAACAATTCGTTAAAATCATTAATTATGTGGTTCATAAATAAAATTCTAATTTATTTTATACACAAAAACGGTTATATTTTGGTACAGAATGTTCCATGAAAAATACTAAGAATTTTAAGAACAATTTAGAAATACTAAATTTCATAAATTTAAGTCTAATAATTCCTGAGATTCATGGCCGTTGCCCGAATTTTGAAAATCCTGTATATGCATTTGTATGTGTATTGAGATAGGATGTGTGGCCGTGATTTGTAAATTTTCTATTAGTATGTAAATTTTCAAAAAAGTCAATATTTAGTTCTTTATAAAATGTGAACATAGACAGCATATTATACCGATTCGGAATACCCTGGAATAAAATGTGTTTTTAGGGAGAAGAATATTTACAATACAAATTTACACTATCAACTCAAGGGTGAGCTGCAGACGGAAATGCAGTTCGCTCCATTGCCATTTCTTAAGTGTACCGCAATATTTTGCAGTTTCTTCAAAAACTCAATTGAATTATATTTAAGAAAGACTTTAATGTAAGAAAAACACTTTCGTTTTACTACTATAATGTATTAACAATAAATAATTTACATAAATAATTAACAACGAATCTAATAGCCGTCTACCATCTGTGGTTAAAACTGATTCCAACTCTCTTGTCCAAATTCATATTTCCTCCATAGCCGCCGAATTTACGAGTGGCACCTCCTCCGACGTTGAAGGTAGACTCCCCATACCTGTTCTTGTTGGACCAAACTGGCACCATGGCATCAGCGCTGACTACGTGCCCGAAGCCGTTGGTATGTCCGTAACCAAGACTACCTCCGGAACCGTTAGGATTCTCCAATTTGAGGAACCCACCTTGGGATTTTCCGTTTCCACCGCCCTCACCGAAAAGTTTAGGGCCATCAGCTTGCCTATATAAAATATATAATGATTAAAAAAATATTTTTCTCGGAAATATATGATTTAAATTATACCTTCTCTGGCGGCTTGACACGGGAGTGAGGTAAAACTGTCTTCCCTCTTCATCTTCTACTAATACAGATTCAGCGGCAACAAGCGCCAGAGCAGCCGCAAATACTACCAAATATTTCTGCATTTTGTATGATGATCTGAAGTATTCTTCGAAACCTTTCAAAATTGTCTGACGAACTGTGTTGAGAACAGTATTTTATATCAACAATTTGGGATATGAGGAATCCCCTTGAGCTCAGAATGTTTACGGGAAGAATAAATTACCGTAGGTCGTAATGCGAAAGCGAGAACAAACTCGGATAACGATTTGTTTTCTTAATTTATGGAGAAAGGTCAACATACTAAACATTACGGCGGGCCAACCTGCACGGAGTAGTAATTTTATAGAAAGAAAACTTATATTGTGTGCAATTCGGAAGCAATATCGCTAGGAAATTTTTCAACAAATAAAATCGTCAGGGAACCAAGTATTTAACAATATAATGCTATTGTTCAATGCTAATATATGTATGCATGGTATTTAATATTATGACGATTTTACCAACTCGTGCAGATTATCCTTATTTATTAGAATGGTAGCGCAGATTTCTTAATGTGAAATCCCGGGAATTTCTGCGCACGCACACGCAACATAAAGATTCAAACATATTTTTTTTAATCTTTCGAGGATTTGCTAAGACGCAAAATTATCGCAAATTCCGAAGAAAAATTGTTTTATTTATATACAAGAATTTTTCAATACATTGACATAAAATAAGCACAAAGGGAGACAAATAAGAAAATGTGATAAAAACTTGCGTAAACCTATTATTTTTATTCTTTTCCATTCCATTTCAAGTTAAAATAACACTTTTTTGTCCTATAGGAGCGCCAAAAGCTGCGTGACGAACCTACAAATCGTTAAAATTTTAATGTAAAACAAGATAAAATAGGAGTAAAAAGCAGGAATTTGTTTTCCCATTATTCGGTTAGAAATTTTAATAAAAAAATTGAACACCACAAAGTGATACTAAATTTAAATACTAAATTCAGGGAAAATTCATTTTATATTTTATCACCTACCAACGGAGTGCCGGGTGGTAGAAGATCTAAAACGTAACCTATGCTTTAATTTTGATCTAAATACTTCAAAAACTGTTATGAAGAAAATACTAAACATAGTTTATAGAGAAACAGTGTTATTTAAACATGAAAAATATGTCTCTGAAATCTTCAGAAAATATTAATCATAATAATTAAATTAATATAAATATTCAGATCAGTCAAGCCTATCCTTGGTTTCATTTTTTAAGCAGAAAGGTTCCAATTTTTAATGCAAAACAGACTTAATATCTTCCTTTCTCTCTCCATACAATAGGTCCCGTTTTAGCATATCAAACGAAGGTAACGTCATCGGGATTAAATCCAACAATCTCCACGGGAATAAAAAATCGCATTTACGCAGTCGGCAGAGTGTGTGTGAAGTGAAGCAGCCTGCGAAATCCTTCATAAATATTTCATTGTATCGGAAGTGTTTGAGCTTTAGTTAAAAATGCTAATGGGCGCGTATGGATTTTGGTATGAAAAATTCAAATTTTTAAAGACTGCCGAGTTCACCCCTTCAGAGCGTGGGGCAGGTTAAAGTACAGTATTGTGTCGTTAAAGGAGATTAGAATTGCAAAAATGCGCTGATAGGCATCCGTTTGTGTTATTTTAGACTTTATTCGTTTGATTTTTTCCTCATTGACGCCGCCTATAGCATTCACGAGAGCATAAATGCAGAAAGGGTCACAGTTTGTGATAGACGACAAAAAAAGAAAACAACCGGTCGGACATAAACTGCACGCATCGTAACGACTTCCAATATAATTATTTGCCATTTTATTTATCAGGTCCTCATAATAATTATAATAACAGTAAACTATAAACTTGAGTTAAATTAGAGCAAAAATCGATAAATCTTCGTTTCGCATTCTAAAAACTAACGTGTTTATTTTTATATTTATTTATTCATTACAACATATCTGACAGTTTTTAAACGAATACCCAATCATGAGATGGAGCAAAATCAGAATATTTATTACCTTTTTTGTTACTTATGTAAAAATAAATAATATTTTTGTTTATTTCGTGTCCATATTATTAAAGTTTTATATTGTTTTGTTTTTGTGAACGATGTTTTTAGATGCGTAAATTGAATATTTAAGAATTTGCTTTACTGACCACAGTCATTTATTTAACCAACGTTTACCAATCCACGAAACCTAAGCTAAAAGCACACCCAGTGCGTTTTGTCCGCGCCCTACCTCGAGCTCGGCCGCCATCAGGATGGGAAATACTCAATCGGGGGCACTGGGATTCCTTTTCGTCGGGTTGCGGGTATAAAACGAGGCAAGTTGTGGTCAAGAAATTCAGAACACGGTTTACACTAGCAGTAACATTTAAATCCAGCTATGCAGAAAGCAATTCTATTTGTCGTTGCTACCCTGGCCGTGGTGGGCGCGGAATCTATGTTACTAGAAGACGAAGAAGGTCGTCAGTTTTATCTACAGCCTATTCTAAGCCGACATAGAAGGTACGTTATTTCTTTCGTATTCTTCCTGCTTTTTATTGACGCAAGTCTTGATTTGCAGGCAAGACAAACCTCAACTCTTTGGAGGTGGCGGAGCTAACGGCCAACAACAGGGGGGCGTGATCGGCATTAGGAATCCTAACGGTAAGTGAAATTATTATCCGATATTTAATTTTCGTAATTATATTGTTTCTTAGGGTCTGGTGGAAGCATCGGATACGGCCACGCCAAAGGGTACGGCCATGACGTCAGCCTAGACGCTATGGTTCCCGTATGGCAAAGGGGGCAGTCGACGGTAAACGTGGGGGGAGGCGTAACCCACCATTTCGGAGGTTATGGCGGCGACAGGACGTTGGACCGCCGAGTCGGAATTAATTTCAATCATCGATTTTGATAGCCTTTACGTGACTGTTTTAATAAATATTTTTTTAAAATAAAAATTTTTCAAAAAAATTGGGTGATTTTATTAAATGCGCAAGTTCTTTTCCCTATTTTTTTCCAAAATTTGATTTTTTTAAAAATACAGACGACATTCTAATAATAATTATTATAAACATTCGATTATTTTTAATTAATAAATCTCGTAAAAATTAAGGATACTACAAACCCAACAACATGACGAAAAAACATATCATAAGTTATTTAAATCAAACAAACATTAATCCTGAATGGAGGATAATTCTATTTACTAGTATACTATTTACCTTTTGTCTTGAATTTGGATTTAATTGATAACGTAATAAATCTTTCATCGTTTCTTACAGGCTACAACAACAACCATTGTTGCTACGCAAGTTAGCTATTTAGTTTTTAAACATTCGTTTTTGTTTTAATACATAACTCCAACAATAATTAAGAAAAATATATAACATTTAATTGTCATTGATAGTCACTACACTACAGGCTCTTTTATCTAGGGTAATTCAAAAATCTTTTGTACTTTTGTACAGAATTTGAATAACCTAAATAATCAATGAACTTTTCTCCGAGGTACTAACAACAACTATTGTCGCAGTAGTAAGTCGTTAACTGCTTAAACATTCACTTTTTTTAAATAAACAAATCTGAGAATTAACCATAATATAAAAATAAAAACATGTTAAAAAAATAAATCTAAGTTTATTTCAAGTAGTCTTTATTCATGAAAAATTGCCGTTGATCGCCAATTCAGTAGAGTCTCTTTAATCCAGGTTAATTCAAAAAACTTCCGCCCTGAAATTGCCTTTTATCAATAACTATTGTTGCAATAGTAAGTCAGCATTTAGCATTAAAACATTCGTTCTTTTAATAAATAAATCTGACCACAATTTAGAATAGTATGAAGTTATATTTATAGTGAAAATTTATTTAAAGTCTTGGTTAACGAAAAACTGTCATTCGTCCTGAATACTGTACAGTGTCTTTAATCCAGGTCGATTCAAAAACCATTACTAACTTTTCACCGTTCCTCCGAGATGTGAACTAATACTGTTGCAATAATAAGTGGTTATGCTATTTCATGTTTAAATATTCTTTTTTTTTAATAAGTAAATCTGGCCACAATCAAGAATGTTATAAAAACAATAATATGCAAAAGAACTTATCAAAATTTATTTGAAGTAAAGGTATTATCGTGAATACAGTATAGACTCTATAATCCAAGTTCATTCAAGAACTTTTTGTCCTTAATTTGCATTTTATTAATAGCATTCATGGTATTAATAAAATGCATAATCTTTCACCGTTCAGTCCTTATAACATGCAAAAATACAAATTAACTTTTATTTTATACACAGGCTTCGTTCACGAAAAATGTTCGTAAATCGTCGATACAGTACAGGCTCTATAATCAAGGTCAATTTAAAACCATTTGTCCTGAATTTTCATTTAATTAAAACATAAATAATTGTTGCAATAGTAGGTCAGCTATTTACTGTTGAAACATTAGTTTTTTCTAATAAATCAATATAAAAATTAAGCATTAAGCAAAACATTTATGACAAATTGTAGTTGATCGTCAATACAGTACACCCTGTTTAATCCAGATTAGATCAAAAACCTTCGGTCCTGAAATTGAAACACATAAATCGACATTTATTTAAAGCTTTGTTTGGCGAAAAATTGTCATTTATCCTAAATACAGGTTTAATCAAAAACCTTTTGTCGCAAATTTGCATTTTATTATTTGCATGAATAATCTTTTACCATTTTTCGGAGATGTTAACTAATATTGTTGCAATAGCAATGCTATTTAGTGTTCAAGCATTCCTTTATTTTTCAATAAGTAAATTTGGGAACAATTATGGCCGTTGATAATCAATGCAGCACAGACTCTTGAATTCAGGTTAATTGGAAAATGTTTGTCCCAAATTTGGAGTTTAATAATAATCTTTCATCATTTATTTAAAGTAAAATCTTTATTCAGGGAAAAATTATGTTGGTCGGAAGTACAGTGGAAACTTTTCTCATTCACCCCAGACGAATTGGGAGTGTGCCAACCCATTCCGCGAGTTTGCTACCAAATTACCACACCATTTTGCTGACGACGTATCCCTGCAGGTTTCCCCAACTTCCACTTCGTATTTTACGAGGTAATAGTAGTCAGTCGCAGACTGAAACAGTTTGTAATTCACGCAATACATTCTATTCATCGACGAAAGTGATATTAGCCTTTGACTCGATGCATTTATGAACGCGGGAATTTCAATTCGGCATTCGGTCGAATCTCGAACGGCTAAAACGAAACGAACGAGGAGGAAAAATGACACTGAATAGGCAATTTTGTTTCGGATAAGGCACCGGGAAATAAAATCATTTTTATTAGGGGCACATGTGACGTTATTATTAGTTTAGGAAATGATTTTTCTCTGAAAGAACGCCCGCGAAGTAAATAAAGCGAAACAGATGCTGATGTAAGGAGGAAAAATCGTCTGGGAAACTTATTTTCGACGAGTGCCTGCGAGAATCGTCTTTTAGGAAAATTGACTCGCAAATTGAAAGAAAAAGCGGAAGAAGATTTCGAGCGACGTGTCGCATCCATACAGGAAAATTTTGTGTAACAAGAGGAGATGTGCCTAAATACCAGTAGAATTTTGTTTTTTTTTTAAGTAATTAAAATTTAAAATAAAGTAATTTGGAAACAAGATCATCCATGTAGAAGGTCCAAATAAATTAAGTCGTAGTTGACATATTACTAATTGAACTGCAGAACGAGGTGAAATACGAGGTGTGTTAAAAAAATAAGGTGACTTTTGAGTTTTATCAAAAAGTATTTATTTATTCATCATAATTAATGTTGTCACCTTCAAAGTAATCCACCCAAGGTATAATAGAATTGCGCCAGCGTTTTTTCCAGTCCTCGAAGCACTTCTGATAAGCACTTTCTGGTGTAACATTGAGTTCTTCCAGCGATCTCCTCCATCATACCAAATCTCCCCCCTTTCATGGGTTTCGTGAGTTTTCGGAACAAAAAAAATGGCAGGGGTCGGTGAATATGGTGGATGAGTTACGAATGTCGTTTTTTTTTGGGGCCTAAAGTTAGACACAATCAACGACAAGCGAACGGGTGCATTATGGTGATGCAAAATCCATGAATTGTTTTGACAGAATTTCGGACATTTTCTTCGTATTGCTTCTCGCACATGGAGCATAACTTCAAGGAAATACTGTTTATTGACCGTACGACCTTGTGGTAAGCACTCTTGATGTACTACGCCACTATCATCAAAGAAAACAGTAAGCAAAACCTTGACACTTGATAGAACTTGACGTGCTTTTTTCGGTCTTGGCGACTATGGGTCATTCCATTGGGACGCATGGGCTCTCTTGAGCGATGCTCCTTCGTCGGTTTTATTCTTCAAAAATAAGCAGTTTCGGGACAAATTTTGCTGCTACACGTTTCATGCCCAAAACTTCGGAAAAAATTACATGGCACGAGCCAATAGAGATGCCGACGTCTCCAGCCATCACTCTAATATTAATTGAACGATTTTTCAACACCATTTGTTTCACTTCTTCGACGCTTTCATCAATTATTGACGTGCTTCGGCGTCTTCTCGGTCATCTTCGAACAGCTTGTACCACTTACAAATTTTTTTTTGCTCAAATTCAGATTCACCATATGCCGTTGTCAACATTTCAAGGGTTTTGCAGCACTGTATTCCATTTTTTACACAAAATTTTATGCAAAAATTTTGATCCATTTTTTTGACAGCAGAAAATCGCTGAAAACTGACAACTTTTTAAACATACCTCATTTAGGATATTCCGAAATTATACGCCAATATTCTCCTCTCTAAACTAGAGAGATAAACTAGAGTCCACAAACTCGTCAGGGTGTTAAAGGTGTTAAAGGAAACTAAGTATTGGAATTCTTTTATACTGTTGGGTTCTGGAAATTTTGTAGCCGTTGATTTGTAGTAACTTTGACTAAAAAAACAAAACATGACGTTTATAGACAAGGAGCTTTTCTGTTACCTCGAGTAAAATTCACAAGAAAATGTTATTGAGTCAAATCAAGTTTTGTCAGTTGAATTATGCATGGCGTCTCAAAATGTATCATTTTCAGTTTCGCCCTGTATCTTAAAAATGAAGCTCTATCCTCGCTAATAATAGAGGTTGCAACCAAAATTGGACATACTGTACATTTTATTGATTTACTTTAACCTATTAGGCTTGTAACTGTACATAACATTTTGTGATCTGATAGGACTGGCAAATGGCCGTCTTTGTAACGTCTTTGACCATACACTGCACACAGTATACGCAGTCATATAAAAATTATATTATTAGACAACAGCATTTCCGACTTGTTCAAAAACTGCTTTTTGGTTAGTTTGACATAGTCCTGATAGGCAAGTAAAGTTCCCCAAACGGTATACCGTATTTAACTTTCTTAAATTTTTATGAAGGGCTACCTCATTTGAGTTTCTCTTTGTAACCCTGAATAAATACATTCGCAATTCCAGAATGAATTTATGTTAAACCTTTAAATTGGAAATCTAATGGACAAATTCAACTTGAAATTGAGGTACCTCAAGTAGGGACTCCTTAAGGAAGATTTATAAAAAGCACACTAATATGAATTAAAATAACGGTTTAATCAAAGAAAATTTCCCTACTCTTAAAATACAAGAGTCCGCATTACACAGTTCTTGTTGACTAACATCTTAAATACGGCCCTAGCTTGTGATACAAGTGTCGAAAAGAATGGTCCTTTCCGCTTTACAACAGGCAAGTCTTAAACTAATTCAACACACAAAGGTTACAAAAACGGTATATCGTTAGGTGAACTCTACCTACATTGGCAATTTTAATTTAAATTTAGGCTTGTCCATATTGCTCCGTCACCTAATTTATATCCGCGCAAGGATAAATTCAAACAGGGGGCGGGACATGAGCCGCGCGGGACCATCTGAAAATTGCAT